GCGACACAGATAAACACCCGCCTACTTCTCATCCGATAATCAACAAACACAAACAGATAGAAAACTAACTGGAGGGAGCCGTACGTATACGGGCTCAACCTCTTTCGCCTTTCTCGGGATTCGACTCGAGTGAGTCTCTTACCTTATGGGGGAGATAGTTTCTGATCTAAAACAAATACTATGTCGCGTATGACAGTCACTCCCGGGTACCACAATTTCAAATGTCCAAAATCGTACAGTTCGCACAAGGGAATGACGAATCGTACCATGGTGGAGTGCGACAGGTCACACCGCAAGAGAGGAGGGGAGGGAGGTCCGCCACACCGCAGAGCGTCGACCTTCAGTAAGGACGCGTCGATGGACTAAGGAATCAGCTAGAGCACTCACATCACCAACGCCCGTGTTGGGAGTAACGTGATCTTGCGAAACCGGGGACTGGGAGACGTGAGCACGGGGGCACCCCCAAGATGGACATCTTGGACCCACGAGATGAACATCAATGGCTCCAAGATGCAATCTTTGACGTGGATCCTAAGTGAGACGGCATGTCCACGACAATCGTGAAAGAGCACGACAAGAACGACGGTGGTCGAGGACGAGTACGCCGGAAGAAGGGCTGGATCTCGTTCCCAGACGAAAGGGAACATACCGAAATCAGGGACCAGGATGGCCTAAGTCAGAATGGATGAACGTCGGACTTGGTAAATTCAGTGTAATATACATAGCAAAACAATCAACCATCACCAACGCTTATAGGGTCCTCTGGCTCCTCCGGCTCTTGAAGTATAGGTGTCACTGAAGTTTCAGTAACTTTTTGTGCTGATTTTGTTTTTGAAGACTGCTGAATTGCTAAAATACTCTCGTAACCTTCAATGTTCTCTCCTCCTACTTCTTCTTCTGAGCCCCAAATCATTTGATCTATCGATGACCTCCGCATTCTTTCCTTCCGGATATCCTCGTGAGACTTCGTCTTCACTGCCGTCTTCACGTTCTTTGCAGTGACGTTGGTTTCCTTGTACCTTTCCCTGGCGTACTGAGTAATGACAGTAGCTTCATCCGGGAATTGCTGCATAACCTCTTCAAACGCCTTTCGAGTGAGCACAAGCAATTCACAGGTATTGGAAGACCTGACAGAAGCATTTCTCTTTTCATTGTATACCAGTGCCATTTCTCCAAAGAAGGAACCGGCTGGCAAGGAAGCGATGATGCCCCCCTCAGGATCCATTACTTGGACGTGGCCCTTCAGAAGGAAGTACATTTCGTTTCCGACCTCCCCGTCCCTGATGATGTAGTCATCTTCCAAGCACAAAAGGGGCTTCAAACGGATCACAAGCGCTGTAATGAACGTGATGGAAAGGCCACGGAACATGGGCACCTTCACTATGATGTTCCTGTTCAAAAACAGAGCAACCTCTTTCCGTAGGTACGGTGGAAGATCTTCAATCATAGTCGCGTCATCAATGCCCTTGTTCTTCTCATGCAGGTAATGAAAGTATCGGTTTATCCTGTGTCTCAGCTTCGGCGGAAAATTCCTGCTGTTCATGTACATGGCGAGCTGGTCTCTCTTCTGGTTATATGCCGAGGAAGAGGAGTCTATTTGGTTGATAAGGGACACCAAGTTACCCACGATCGATACGTAGGTAACCAAGCCACAAACCAACATCACAATGGTTGTGATCACCTGTCTCTCAGTCTGCGGAGAGGTCTTCTCCCCGATCATGGTCACGAATGTGAAGTACAGGCACAAGCAATACCTCAGCCGATCACCCTCGTCCGCAAAATCACTCACGCCCAGCCACAGATCTATCGCATACGCTTCTCCTCCCCCAGGAAGAGGAACAATTTCGTCCCTGTCAATGTCTGAAACATGTATGGCGATGCACGACACCCAGTGCAAGAACAGAGCCAGGAAGAATATTAACTTCATCAACCTGAGTAGGACAGGATCTATTTTGGGGATGTCTCTCAAAGAAACATTGTAAACAGACAGATCCATGTACCTCAGCAAGTAGAGTAGCTTTGAGATCCTGATCACCCGAAATATGACAACAACCACTGTTGCAGAAAATGAAATCCCGCAACTCAAGACAAGATCTAGTGGTACAGCGCACAGCCCGTCGTACAAGAAGGTCCTGGCCATGTAATGCCCCAAGATAGACGCCTCCTCTGTGATCACATTATGCCCCGTGTCCTCATACGGGGTCAAGCATTTGACGATGATGTCCATGATGTACGCCACGTCGATCGCAACGTCAAAGGGGTTGAGTGAGCTCGCATAGCTCGCCGAATGAAATGCCAGGCGGTAAGGAACCATGAACGACGTGTATATGGCCATAAGGAAGACGGTGGTGTTCCACAGCTTCAAGAACCTTCCTCTCGGGTCGAATTGATACGGCTCCAAGTCGATGACCTCTTGGTTCTCTATCCAGCCTTCCCAAAGCTTCCAGGCCCCCGTCTCACCCTGCTGGGCCTCTACTTTCTTTCGCTCCCCTTTCACACC